GCGGTGGCGGCTTTCGCTGCGGGTGGGCTTCAGGCGGACGCACTCCGGGGAGCGTGGCCGCAGAGAGCCGGGGCCAGCGGGGCGTCAGGTGAGGCGGCTCCTGGGGGGACAGCAGCGCCGCTGCGTCCGTCCTCCGCTGTGTCTTGTTGATCGTATCTAAATATAGTTTTAGATTACATCCCGTAATTATTTTATGTTTATTGGTAGCATGTTTCAGAGTTATGCTGTTTCAGGCTCGGGTAACTTTAATTACATGAAATTATCTCCATATTTTTGACCAGTTGCACAGTCTGTTTTTCAAGCTGTTAGTGCTTGGAATAAAATGAAATAAATAAATTGGTAAGAGTATTATGGCATGCCTCTATCTGTGCACGCGAATTGCAGTCCAAGCGGTAGGGCATCCATTCTGTATCTTAAAATGTGAAGCTGTTGCAGTTTGCTACATATTCATGGCAATTGTATCTAAGTGCATGCAGCGTGTTTCTCACTGTTGCGTGTTTTGAACTTTCAGAGTTCTCTGTGTGATCATACACCATTTGTTAAGATGAGGAGCAAGTTTTCTATTGCTTCTGACACCAAATTGGAACTTAGACCAACATAACTTTGTAAGCTTGTGTCTCCAAATGGTTCCATCTTTCAGATTTTGACAGATACTGATTACTACTTGAATATTGGAATCATAGAATCTTTTAGGTTGGGAAAGACCTTTAAGATTGAGCCAAACCATTAACCCAGCACTACCAATTCCACCACTAAACTATGTCACTAAATGCCACATCTATTTTAAATAATTTAAAACAGTTCAGCCTATTTGAGATTTGCCATGGTTTTTTCAGTATATGTTTGCTTCTCACTGTTTTACTGGTATTTCAGAGCAGACGAGACACAGATCTACTTGCTATTAGCCTCATGTCCCTGATACTAGTCTGCTTTTCATTTTTTTACAGCTGTGCGCTGTACTTCTCTTCCAGCAGTGATGATGAATTTGAAATGTGTAAGTAATATCACGTTAGTTTGTTTTCTAAAGGGGTATGAAAAGAGCACAATTCTATTTAGTTATAGTGAAGTAGTGTTTTAAATTTACTTTCTTTCGTGCCTGCTTCTGCAAAGCACATTTGCTCCTTGCTGTGCTGGTAGCTAGACACCACAGTGTATAGGTAGTGTATTCTTGAATCTTGTGGGTGCTTTTTTGCCTTGCATTATTTTTTTCTTCTTGACTCAGTTTTGTCTGCTTACTTGCTTCCTTCATAGTCTACAGGACATCTTAGAATAAACATTTTCTCTAAGCAATTACTGTTCCAAACATGTCTAAACTACTCAGGATTTCCTCTTGCATGTCACAGCTTTTACTGCATGTATCTTAACCAGTCAGAGGAATGTTTTTGGCGTTTCATAGTGGCTCAAGGTCTTGGTAAGATGTAATTAAGCATTAAATTTTACATGGTGGCTTCTGCTTTTCATAACTTCCTATCTTTATGTACAACTCTGATATTCATATTGTTAATTTTGGTAATAGCCATTATGATTATAGTTTTGTGCTAGGGTAGTTGGATACACATTGTGTTTTTTCCTGTTGCAAGAGTACTGTTTAGCTTGTTCCTGAGCTAAATGGATCATAGCTAAATCTACCACATCTCAAGACAGTTTCAGGCTGGTAAATAATTTAAAGGTTTGTGAATCTTGCAATAGGTTCCTCATTACCTGTTCAGCATTTGAGCAGAGATGGTAGAAATGGTGAGGCAGCAAGTTGTATCTGTTTATTCTGCTTAGTTTTCCGTTTGCATATCATTTGTGTTAATCTAGCAGTAGATTTCTTATTACTTCAGAGCTCATGCTGTGCTCCAGCTCAGTGCCATGTGAATGATCTTTAGCCTTGTCAGGCCTTACCCCTTACATCCAGCTGAAATAAAATGTGCTGTGTATAGTTCTTGCACTACATCTGGACTTTTAAATCTGGTAAATACTTCAATACTGTCCATTCATTAGGTCATTTTTAATTTTCCTGTAATTAAAAAAATCTTAACTATTTGATAGTCTGCTCTCCTTTTCTACTGTTTTTTGCTTCCTCCATCCAGGAGGCTGTTGAGGTCAAAGTCATATGTCAGCTCTGCTATGGAAGGTAGCTGAGAGTAACTAGTTGGGGCTCGGAGTGGCATATTTGCAAAGCTAATCTATTGCCATCCTATTGCTGTATTGACAGCCGTAGGAAAGATTGAAATGAAAATATGTGCCAAGACAAGAGACAAAGAGAATCGATTTAAGCAGCAAGTCGTATTTTTTCTGTAAGGTTTTGGTTTCCTGTGACCAGCTGTCAGGTTTGTTAGTTTGGTGCTGCTTCATGGCCTAGGATCACTGTGCTTATGATGATCTAGGAAAGCCGCTGGCCGTTTGTGTTTCAGTGAGCAGCAGATGCTGTGTTTACTTCTTTTGTAATGAAGGTAGTGGTGAAGACTGCTAGGTGCTAAAACTGAAAAAAAACTTACTGCTCCAAATAATTTTTTGAGCTTCAAGGTCTTGAATTCCTTCCCCACCCTACCTTGTGCTCTCCTTTAAAGAGTGACGTGTGGGAACAGACTCTGTACCCCAGAGGTGGTACCGTAGGCATGTTTATTGCGCACAGACGCAGGGGGGTCGCTCCACCACAAACTCATACCCAAAGTGTCAATTTATCTCATATTTATACAGCAAAACATTGCATATTCAGATGACGCCTACACACATTCGTTACCTCACCCCGCCCACCCCCCCGCTTCGTGTTATCATAAGCTGATCCGTCCTGCGCTTGCGCGGTTTCCCCTGGTAACTGCGGGCAGGGGTCTTCGAGTCGAGGGAAGTGGTCTCTGGGAGGAAGGCCGTGGGTCTTCCTCGTAATGTACTTTTCACCTCTTGCCCGGAATGTGGTGATTTGGCAAGTTTGCAAAATTGAGCCAGTCCTGGTCAGCTCTTGTCCTTGGTCAAAATCTGTTCTTCCTTACTTGCCACTCTTCTCCTGATAAGTTTGTGGTATATGTTACTTTGTATCCGTCAGTTCTGTTCTTTATGACTGGATATGTCTCTGCATGTGTTAGTCTTTATTATCTGTTTTAGCCTCCTTGGTTAGTAAGTCCATAGTCCCTTTGTTAGAGTGTCAAGGCTCATCCTGTTAGCTATTTCTTGTTAGCAATTTAGCCTGTTTGCCTTCATATTGGTTAGTGTAGTGATTTCTTCTATTTTATCTCTTATGTTAATATCCTATTTCTACTCTTTATATCAATAATTATTTCTATTACTTATGTGAAGAGGATAACTCGCAGACCTATCCTGTGCTTTTTAACTCCGAGTGTGCTTTCAGGGTACCATTTAGGTGTAGCTCAGCTGCTCCTCCTGGTACCAGAATCTACCGGTCAGCCATAAAAACTTTATCTAGCAAACCTATCATCCGGTTTGGGGGTATGGCATAATGTGAAAATTTATAGTCCCATTGATGTTGTGCATGCAGCTTTAGATTGTGAGAACAAAGACTCATTAACTGCTCTTTAGGCCCATTGTGTTCAGAAGAAGGGACAATTGTTTCCTTTCCCTAAAAGTTATACTGAAAAACTCCTGTTTAACTTTTGTGAATCTTTTATGATGATGGTGTGTGAAATTTTGATAGCATTTCTGCTGTTTCAAGAGTCGTTCACTACTTTCAATCTTTTGCTACATCAAGGGTGTGCTGTGCTGCTCTCTAGTTGTTTAGCAGTCACCACAATATCCCTGGAGTGATTAAAAAGCATTTATTTCTGAGAAGTAGTATTGTATTGCTGTTCTACAGTGGGATATTATTGTTAGCATTTTGTCTGAACGTTTTTTTGAAATTGCTGAGTGGAATAGGCAGATGGAGGCGGCTTTGCAGTATGAAAACTAGGGCCTGCGGTCATTGAAATGCTTGGAGAAAATATTGATAGAGACATTCAATTCCACGCCCAATGATCCACACATATAAGGAGGCTACAGTGTATACTGCAAAACAGATGCCCAATACAAAGCCAGGTAAGTGCTGTTAAGGAGTGAATAGTGAAGGAAATGCTGGAAAGCTTCTGTCAGCTTTGTGGAATTGAGAGTTGGAATTATGTAAAGGATTTTTATGTTTGTGTGTTGTGGGTTTTTTTAAGTCTTCAGACCATATTTTTACTAGTTGCAAACTTTTCTCTTAAAAAAAAAAAAAGTGCACGACAAAAGAGACAGAAGCTTGTTCTTAATCTTTTATTGTTTCAGTTTTAACCAGAATGAAAACTCCCAAATCTGTTTCTAAAAAGGCGGATGCAAGGTGAGTGCTGTAATTATTGACTTTCCAATGTTTGTTTATGTGTTTTCTGTATCATGCCTACTATTCAGAATACAGAAAAACTGTAAAGTTTTAGAGATTCATAGGCAGATGTGTTTATAGGAGTGAATTCAGACAGAAGAACTGTTATGTGCTCAATCTCTGTATTCAGGTCAAATGTAAAACATGATGTTTGGAAGTATATGTGCTCTATTGCCATTCCCCTTAATGGGCCTAGTTTGCAACATTTGCTGTGAGCAACTGGTAATGTTATACTGGGTAGCTTTTTCTGGTTTGATTTTTTTTTTAAGTAATGCAAATTCTTCTGTTTTCCTGGTTTTGCCTACTTTTTCACACTATTTGCTTGTGTTGCAGTTTGAAGGACTCAATTGATAGCTCAGATGATTTCTTCTTGGACTTTAAAGTGAGGAACAGAACAACAAAGAATGGTATGAAGCAGGCATTTTAATGGGTGGAAAGATAGATTCATTGCTGAGCTCATAAATTTGAGAGACCTTGTTAAACACAAGAGACTCAAGTCTCTTCCTTGAGGGTAACAGAGGAGAGGCTTTTCTGTTTCTTTTGGGGCTTGCAGAGGAAAGCATGGTAGAACTGTTCTGACAAATGTACATTTTGAAGCATTGGTGTGGGTCTGCAGATGCTGTAAGCTATCTGCTAGTATTTGGGTCTGTAAAAAGAGTAGCAACTCGTGGTTGATTAGACTGAGCTGCAAATATGAGGTGATCACTGTGGAGAAAGAATCAGGATATGCAAAAACAGCATTCCAGTGACTGTACCAGCTCATTCTGTGGCCAAAAGACACCGAGAGGGTAACTGTTGTTAGGCTAGACACCTCCAGTTTGATGGAGGTGTTTGCAATCGGACCACTCTTGCCTAGGCATGATGCAGAGCCATAGATAGGATCTTTTATTTTGGAGCTTCTTTAGGCAAGGCCCTACGTGTAATCCTTTTAACAGTGGCTATAAGATGCTCTGACAAACCATGACTTGAGGGGTTTCAGTGCTTGTCTGAGCAGAGAATCCTTGTTTTCCCCCAAGGGATGAAAAGTGCCTTGGTTTAGTAACATTCAGAGCCTGACTACAGCTGTCTGACACACTTGTCATTGATACAAGCAAACTGGACTTTCCTGAAAGGAGTAAACAAGGCTCTGGAATTCTTTACACAGCCACTATGCAGCGATCAGGTGATAGAACTCTAGCAGATGAAGGATGATAACAGTGATCTCATGTGAAGCTGGAGAAGCTCTGATCCCTGATGAGGAAGGGCAGTATCTCTTGCAGCTGGTGTGAATGTCAACCCTGAAACATGTATGGCAGCTATGGACTCTATAAAAGCTGATGGAATGCTTAATTGAGGAGAAATGAGGGGAAGCAAAAGTGGACCAGAAGCAAAAAAGTTACCCATAGATCTGACATGATCCCTTGATCTCGATAGGTCAAATCTGTGATGTCAGAAACTTTGCTAGGAAGTGTGCACTACGTGCTGTAGGCCATGGCCCAGTCAGCTAAGACTGACTTCACTTGCTGGTTTTGTAAAACTTCAATACGAAATGTTCAGCCTTACTCTGAAAGATGGGGAGAGACTCTGTCAGGGAGTGTCGTGACAACACAAGGGGTAATGGTTTTAAACTGGGTGTGGGTAGATTTACATTAGCTATTAGGAAGAAGCTCTTTACTGTGAGGGTAGAGAGACACTGAAACAGGTTGCCCAGAGAAGCTGTGGCTGTGTCTCCTCTCTGGAAGTGTTCAAGGTCAGGTTAGATGGGGCTTTCAGCTACCTGGTTTACTGGAAGCTGTCCCTGCCTATGGCAGGCAGGTTGGAACTAGATGATCTTGAAGATCTCTTCCAACCACAACCATTCCATGAATAAAGATTATGTCAGCATTAACTACCTATGTAGGATTGTTAGGCCTGATGGCTGATGTGTACATACATGGGGTTTAAGCTACCTTTTCTTTTAACATGTCAGTGACTCTCCATTTAGTATGATGGCAAATGACAGTGTAAAAAAGAAAATGCAAAGATATTTTTCTATTATTTGTGTCTTCCTACCTCTCGAAGGATTTTTGTGTTAAGACAAAGGCAGTTCTGAATGAAACTACCAAAAGTTTAAGCTGTTTCTTTTGAATTGCAGCACAGAAAGATCTTCAAACACCAAAGAAATTGATGGCCTCTGGAAAGAAAAAGACTTGCTGCCAAGAATTGCAGTATCCAGAGGCTTCAAGTGACACTGAAAATTCTGTCTTTGTAGAAAGTTCATGGCATGACCACCCAAAATGGGGAGTGAAAGACTTCAAAGAGAGTTGGAGATGCATAGAACTTTCATCTCCAGAAAATATGAAGGAATCAATTTCCAGAGGCAGTCCTGACTTACTTGTTAGACAGAAAGAAAGAAGCTGTGAAAAGAGTTCAGAAAGCAGAGGGCCAGCTGTGGCACCACAGCGAAGTACAGGGGTGGAATCGGAGAGCTCAGATGACGAATTCGAGTCATTAATGGAACGGATAAGGAAACGAAGCGTATCCCAAACCCCCATCTTAAGCACAAGGAGGACTGTCTACCAGCCAAGCACAATAGGTAAGCAATTGTTCCTTGCTAACTTGCAAGCTACCTACTGGCAGCAATGGTAGTGCTGATTGTCCAACTCTTAATTTGTGCAGCATATGGAGCAGAAATACATCCCTGCGTCTTGCAATTTGATGGCATTAGAAATTACTGAGCATTCTGACTGATTCTACTAGTCTTGTGTATCAAGATTTAAGTTTTTCACTATTTTTTTATAATTCCTATAATTGTTGGCATTTTTAGTTTTAAAAATTGTTTTGAAAACAAATCAACTGGTGTTTTTTAATGACGTTATCAAATTTTTTTTTAGGTATGATAGCAGTTAATGCGAAGCTGTCGTTTTGGCTGAAATTTTGAACAGTTTAGATGCTGCTAATTTAGTATTTGGATTTATAATTGACATTTTTAAAAATAGAGTTTATAATGAGAATTTCCTAAATCAGAATCTTTCTCTGCTTTGACTAACTTAAGTAAACTCCATCTGAAATCTTGCAAAGTGGGAAAAGGGCTATTGCTGAGTAAGAGCAGGTGAAAACTTGATCTCCTTCTAGACAAGTAAACACAGGATGCCTTCCTCAGTAACAAGGACTAGTTCAGGGCAAGGAGACCTATGGAAGAGGACGGCTGATGGAAGAGAAATATGTCCTCAGAAAGAACAAATAATTATTTTTTTTTATGTTGGACTATGTTAATGTAATCTACAGATCTTATTCTGCAGGTCAGCCAGCAGCTGCATAGGCTTCTCTGTATGTGGTTAAATAGTGAAGTGGGCCAAATAGCTTTTCTTTAACTGTTCCCCTAACTTAAAGCAGTTCTTGATTTCTGATGTGAAGGTCAATCATTGTAGCAGTCTGGACAGATGTGGACTGGGGAAATAGGCAGCTATCTGATTGGAATTTACCTGTGAGATAAAGTGTCTTCTGGTACACAAGGGGTTAGAATGATATTTTTGTTGAAATGATCTGTATCTGTATCTCTGCATCACTGTTCCCAATGTGCTGGTGATGGATTTTGGATTGGTGAAATGTCACAGTGAGGTCACAACTGCTTTTCCTTCCAATTCCTCCTAGCTGAATGTTTGAAAGTTTGGAATTTGTCATTCCTTCACTGATCATTTTTGTAGTAAATAACAGGAAATTGCTATTCCACCACTCATAAAAGCCTTTGGATTCAAATATGCACAGTGAGAGTCTGTGCTGAGGTGGAATACTTAACTTTTTTCACAGTTATGTTACCTGGCATTTATGCTCCTGATTCTTTGATGGTGTGTAATCCCGTGTCTTCTTTTGTTGACGCAGAAAACATCAAGCCACCCTGTGAAAATGCTCAGTCATTGAAAGGAGGAAGAGTCAAGACACCAAGGCCAAACTCCATTTCACTTCAGGAAACACCTTCCAATGTTACTGCCAGAATTCCTAGGAACGAATTGGTCAGTAGCTCACCATCAGCAAAGGCAGAGAAAACGTAAGTGTTTCCAATCTTTACTATGTTCTAGGACCATTATAGATGGACAGAAAGATGCTAAACGTTTTGCCTAGGATGGCATTCTGATTTTTCTGGCACCTAGACACTTCTGCTGCCAATTCAGCAGTTGTTAATGGTTAAGTACCTGGAAATCAAAGGTTTCAGTCTCAGGTATGACAGGGAGAATATAAACTAATCTCTCCTTAGAGGAATTGACAGCAAATATATTTGAGAGATGTCAAATCTTTTCTGTAAATGTTAGCTCTCTTGCTAATACCTTGTGTTGGCAGAGCACACTTCTGACACACACTGCCCTATAGATTCTACCTGTCCAGCTGCCTGTCTCTGAAAATATATCAAAACTGATTCTATTAGTAATTCATGCTTTTTAACAAACTTGTCTTTGATATTTTTGGCGTGTATACTTACAAATTGCAGATTTCATGTTTCTATATATGAATGCAACTTAAGCTTTTTAGAAGAAGGTCTTTTTCGTTTCTAATAGGTACCTTTATTCTGCCTTTTAGCCATAGATGCTTCCTTTAGTCATTTTCTATCTGTATAACAATACAAAAACTTATATGATGTGCTCGAAGATTACACTTTGTCAGAATACTGCAGTATTGAAGTTGGTAATCCTAGTGGAATATCTGCTTCCTCTGAATGAATTCCTGAGGATTCTCAGAACGTTGTTGGCTATGTTTCTGAAAACTTACTTTTATTGTGGGTGATTATTGGGACTGTCCATATATTGATTGTTTTGATGTCGTTGTGGCTCAGTGTCACAAAGACCTGAGCCACCCTCTTTTCCTACTTAAAAGTCTTCATAATCTAGTTCTGTGAATTAATGAAATAACTGCAGACCTATTGCAGTAGCTCTGCCCCTTCATGTCCCTGAAGGGGGCAAGAGGACAGTGTGAGCACGTGCACCACTCTGGCCTCGTGAGGGCAAGCTAGTGAAGAGTCAGGAGACATTTATGCCAGTGGCAGCACCCCAGACATTTTTATTGGCTACAAAGTGGCCATTGTTTTTCGATGTGGTATCTCTGTACTTCAGTACACTGCTTTATGGCTTTTCTTACAGGCCCAGGGTATGCTCAGTGCCTGGCTGTTTCCTGAAGGATCTCTCAGATCCGACTTCCCACTATGTGAAGCATTTCAAGAAAAATAAAGAGGAGCTGGCACAGAAGCTCTACTGTCTGTATAATAGTACCATCTTTGAGCAGAAGGTTTGTTTCAAAACAAAACCTACAATTCTAAAATACTGTTTGCTCCTCTCTTTTAGATGTTATTGTTCTTTATCCTCTTCAGTTAGTAGAAGTTAAGCTTCATAGCAATGACTTATGTTTTAATTAGTTCAAGCAATTTCTTTGAAAGAGGCTTTCATTTTGGCTTGCTTTCCCTGCTGTAATGGGGTACCATCTTCAGTGAGCAGTCTGGGTGGTGTCCAACTGTCCTTGATGAGATAAACTGCTACATGAGGAGCTTTAGATCAGTTTCATCTATGAAGAGGTGACTGTTTATCTTCATGTATTTTCTAGTACCTGCATGGTCATGAACTCAGCAGCCCAAGAATGTTTCTTGTGCTGCCTCTATGTTAGTAGACCCCAGCAAAGGCAGTTACAGCTTTGTGCTGCTGAAAGAAGCTCCACGTTGCTCCACAATTGCTCATTCAGCTGTTACTGAAGTAACACCTACTAGCGAACTCGGCAGCATTACCACAGCCTAATGGCTCCTTGTAACACAACTTTCTTGCCTGCAACAAAAGGCAAATGGTAGGAGTGTATGTTGGGAAGAAGAGACTGATGAATAAAAGCACTTGCCTTTGTTGTGAAGGCCTGTTGCCTTGTACTTAAACATGATACATGCAATCTTCATTCCTGTTGTGTGTTTATGTCTGCCATTCTGGAGCAGACTTAAAAGCTGCTTGCCCTTTGAATAACAGTTTTGGGTGAATCTAGAACTGTAAGTTGCATTTCAAATTGAAGGTTTAATTTTGAAGAACAGCTGTCTTGATATTTACATCTTTTTGGGTACTGGACACCTTCCTCTGTTGAGAAACATCCTTGAAATGAAGGACACTGCCCTCAGTAATTTCAAGAGAATTTCCTTCAGAAAGGAGAATGTGTCTGGACAGCTGAAAAAACATTGCTGAGCTGTTTTCACGTAAAGCTGAGCTGAACAGCCTCACTATTGCAGAAGGCAAAATACCCTGCTTGCCAGTGCCTCAGCCCTGTAGCTGTACTGGTGCTACTGTTGGACCATTTACTTAAGCTCATTTACTAAAAGTTTTTTGTCATCTCTGTTAGTTAAAGAAGAGCTGACCAAGATAGATATGGTAAGGGCTTATACAATCAGAGGCAGCACAGAGGATAAGCAGGGGGTGATTAACTACCCTTCTACCCTCTTGCATTGTGAGGAGTTAAAATGGCAAGCTGCAGGTTCAGAACCACCAAAGCAGATGGTGCCTGACCTGTAGATTACTAAGCTGTAGAACCTTTTGATCATGGGCTGTTGTGGATGCTAACAATGCATATATACACACACTATCCCCAAAACACCAGAAAACAACTTTAAGGGCTACTTAATGCAACAGAGCCAGCAGTGGCTCAGTGAAGTCTTGTCTTGCAAATGGCTAGCAGTTGGGAAAAGTGCTTTTTTTTGAAGAGGAAATTTTTATGCCTGCCTTGTCCTTGTATTCCCTCTTAAACAGCATGTGTTAGCCACTGTTTGAGACAACAGAAGAATTAAGGGACTTCTTGTCTCATCCTGCATTGTGAAACTGTGTGTTGGTTACAGAGACTGAGAATAGGAATAAGGAGGAGGGTGGTTTTGCCTTTTAAGTGACAACAGTATTAAGAGCACTAATAGATAAATCCTGTACTGGCTTTGTAGTAACTACAAAGGGAAGTCAGAGGGCCAGGAGAAGGTAAGAGAGGGCAGATTACATGTACTTTTTGTTTTTCAGTTACCAGAAAAAATGGCAATAATCTGGAATAAGAAAATGAGAAAAACAGCAGGATATTGTGTAACTGGACAGACAGAAGGTCCTGAAGCAAAGCGTTATGCTCGCATAGAACTTTCTGAGAGGGTCTGTGACTCTGCAGGTAGGTAAAAGAAATGTTGATTCTTCATTGAGGAATCAAGTTCTAGAGATAGAAACATGAATCTGAGGCCTAAGAGATCTGAAACTGGACCCCGCTTTGAAATTTCTTATTGCTTTGAATAAATAAATCCACTCATGGTAGTACTTGTCCTCACAACCCTTCTAAGAGGCTGGGCAAATTTACAAGATGTGTGACCAGCAATGTATTCGTGCTAACTGCAGTGTTTTGTTTGAGTTTCTTACTGATCAAAGACCTGTAGGTTACTCTAATTCTATATGTACTATAACAGCAATCTAAAATCTGACTTCCCTCAGCATAGCTAGCCACCTTCTTAGAAGGATTTAAGCTGCAGTAAAGACAGGTCACTGCCAAGTTAAGTGTGGTGGGTACTATAACTGTTATTTCTCCCTCATTCCCTCCCATTTGGGGAAATTCATGTTGCAGTTACAGTGGGAGAACCAGTTCTCTAATTAATAGAATATTTAGAAGTAAGCCTAATAATTTGATTTGAGAGGTATAACAGAGTACCCTGGGAATCTGCGTTTGAGGGGTTAGGAGTTCACGAGTGCTAGTCAGATTTTAAGAAGCACAGGGGCAGCCAATTCCATTGTGTTGCAAGTCAAGCAAGCTGTGTAGAAGACCAGCTTGGCTGAACAAGCTCAGAGGTAAAAATTGTGGAGCTCAAGAGCAAAAAGAAATTGTATGATCTCTGGAAGCAAGATCAGGCTTCACAGGAAGATTACAGAGCTCTGGTTCATATATGCAGGGAGAGGAAATTAAAGGCTAAGGTTCAATTAGAGTTGACACTGGCCAGTGTTGTGTCAGTTACCAAGAAGGGCTTTTCAAAGTATGTTAATAGCAAGAGGAGATCTGAAGAAAACATTGGACTGGTACTTGTTGAGGATGGTCATCTGACTGTGCCATGTGGACATCAAGCTGTTGACTACTACTGTCTGGATGCAACCATCCAGCCAGTTTCTCATCCACTGAACAGTCCACCCACCAAACCCATATTTCTCCATCTTTGTGTTCAAAGGACTTCAGAAGTCCAGATAGATGACATCTGTAGCTCTTCCGTTGTCCACTGATGCAGTCACTTCTTTGTAGAAGGCCACTGAGTTGGTCAGGCAGGACGTGCCCCTTGTAAAGTCATGCTGGCTGTCTGGAATCACCTCCCCATCCTCCATGTACCTTAGCACTTCTTCTAGGAGGATCTGCTCCCTGATCTTCCCAGGCACAGAGGTGAGGCTGACAGGTCGGCAGTTCCTGGGTCTTCCTTTCTACCCTTTTTAAAAATAGGGGTGATGTTTCCTTTCTTCCAGTCACCAGGGACCTCACCTGACTGCCAGGGCTTTTCAAATATTATAGACAGTGCCTTGGCAACTGCATCAGCCAATTCTTTCAGTACTCTGGGTGCATCTCATCAGGCCCCATGGACTTGTGACTGTTAAGGTTCCTTGGGTAGTCGCAAACCTTTTATGATGAGAGGGACTTTGTCTCCCTGGTCCCTGTCTTGTGGCCCATCAACTTGAGAGCTGTGAGGGGAGAAGCTGCCAGTGAAAACTGAGGCAAAAATGTTGTTGAGGACCTCAGCCTTTTCCTCATCTGTTGTTACTAGCTCAGCATTGCTGCTCATCAGTGGAGTGTGCTTTCTTTGACCTTCCTTTTCTGTTTTACATACTTGTAGAAGCCCTTCTTGTTTTTCTTTGCATGCCTTGCCAAGTTCAGCTCCAGCTATGCCTTGGCATTCCTGACCT